ATTAATAAATAAGTTATATTTGTATTTAGATTTTAATAGAGAAGGCAAAGAAGATCTATAGGAATAAAACCGACAAAATCGACATATGGGTGGGCGGGCTGTTAGAGACCACAGCCACACAACCCGGGGAGCTCTTCCGGTACGTCATATCGGATCAGTTCAGACGTATTAGAGATGGCGATAGATTTTGGTTTGAAAACTATAAGAACGGGTCAGACGTCTAACAGATTTGTGGTCTACTTTTATTGACATTTATTTTTGTTGATTAACTTTAGGCTATTTACAGACGAAGAGATTTCGAGAATAAAACAATTAACTATTTATGACATAATTATAAGCGTTACTGACATTAAAGGCGATGAAATACAGAAAAAACTATTTCAGTTGCCAACGGGTATGACACCACTCGTGTGACCATTAAATTAATGGTTTATTTTCTAACATATAGTCTCATCCAATCGCATATCAAGTGAGTGCACACAAGCCATGTCTAAATACTCGTACGATTGTGTGACAGATATACTGCGGAATACTACCGAAAAATGTCTGACATTGGGAGCGGTCACGAGAGATAGGGTGCTAAACGACAGGTGCACTAAAGCTCATACTTTTGACTATTTTATTGGTAATGAATGGAGTTATGCGCTGACATTCTTCGGGGTCGGCATGTTTGGCATCCTATGTATTGTTGTCCTCAAATGTCTGACTATGCGACGAGAATCACAGAATGAAAGCCTCAGAAAAAGTAACTCTCGAATGAAAAGGATAACTTTGAGTGAAGACATCACTTTGGGTTTGAATATGTCTTTAAACTGTTTGTAACACCATTTAGTGACACTTTAATGGATATACAGCTCAAGAATGGGTGGGCAAAAAGGAGGGCCTGAGATGTGTTCAGATAATCTGCAAGTCGTCCAAGAAGTGTATTGTCGTTAAACTGGAAAACGGCTCAAAAGCTGTCCGGAGTATAGATTTACGAGAGACGACAGCCATTGAACTACAGGCCAGTGCTAACCGAAAACAAGACTATCTGCTCCTCAAAGTGTCCAATGAATACGATTTGGTGCTTAAGTTTGATTCATATCACGAGAGGGAGAGGTTCGCCACGAAAGTGGAGCTCTTTCTCGAAGAGATCGGTGTCGGCAGAGAGAGGCTTGAGTTGGACTTGAAGTCAATGTTGAATACGGCCTACACTAAGGAAAAGAGACAAAAACATTTGGAACAGTTCTTCAGAGTTGTCTTCTCTCATGTAAACCATAAGATTGTCTTTCATTACAGAGAAAGCATTTCATGTGATTTATTCATATTACAGGCATTTGGGGTGAAATCGCGGGAAGAGTTGAACGTAAAGTCGGCCAAAGAAGTGATAAACACTGAATTGACTCAATTCGAGTTCGCGGACGCCCTGTCCATGAGACCCGACTCCACATTCATTCAACAGATGTTCGCTTTGGTGGACAAAGACAACAACGGATACATATCTTTCCGGGAATTTCTGGATATGATTATAATCTTCGCGAAAGGAAGCGCCGACCAGAAGGCAAAACTCATGTTCGATATGTACGACATGAACCGCACCGGGAAGTTGACGGTCGACGAGTTCAAGACAATGATCCGATCGATGCTAGAGTTGGCCAATCAGAGTATATCCCCGCAACAGATGGATGAAGTGATTGGCTCTATGTTCAGAAGCGCTGGACTTCGAAGTCGTCAGGAATTGACTTTTACTGACTTTCAGAAACTATTGGGTGATTATAAGGAGGAACTGGGATATGCAGAACTCAACTTCGATGGTATTTAAGATAACCACTTTTGTGACAATTTTAATCACTCAATATAACTCATAGTAAGTGGCGCTCAAGAGATCGCAACCTCCGCGGCCAACAAAAACAAGAGACAAAGTGCTTTCCTTAGAGCCAATGATACGTTGATCCGGGCCTACAGTTACTTCGGTGGCACTGATCCCAACGCTAAAGACCCGAAGCTAACCACCAAAAAAAGTGCCCCAAAATCGCCGTCTCTGTTAAGAGTGGAGACACACGAAGCAAAGACAGGCCCGGAATGGCTCACTGTTTGGAAGCGAGTGGTTGATGAATACAAGTTACAGATATTTTGGATCACTATCTATACGGCTCTCATTATTTATATCTTCATCGATAAGGCCTACAGTTTGTGTCATTTTCTTCATTTTCATCAAATTAATTATTAATGTTATTTAATATATCCCCAAAGCGTATACATATCTTCGAGAACACGGAGGTCTTCGGCAAATCGCGGGTCTGGGGGTGACTGTGACCAGGGGTGCGGCCAGTGTTATGATGTTTTGTTACGCAACCATTCTGTTGACAATGTGTCGAAATATCATCACTTTCTTAAGGGAGACATTTCTGCACCGATTTGTTCCCTTTGATGGAGCCGTCGGTCTTCATAAGTACATTGCATTCTGGGCTCTCGTTATGTCGAGTAATCACTCATTGAATGCCTATATTTTCGTGCAATTTATTAATTTATATTTTTTTGCGCAAAAGTAATCCATTCTGTGGGTCACGCCATCAACTTCTACCACATCTCCACCCAAACGGCTGATGACACAAAGTGTCTCTTCAGAGAGTTTTATCACTCGTGAGTTTTATTATTGATTTTCACTGACAATATCTTATGATATTACCACCAAATATGATAGCTCTGATGAATTGCCTAAATTCTTGTACTGGTGTTGGGGTACAATCACCGGCATTACTGGTGTACTCCTTCTATGTCTGGTTTTCCTCATTTATGTCTTCGCCATTCAGTACTCCAGACGTAATATCTTCAACGCCTTCTGGGCCACACATAATCTGTACCCCATATTATACATCCTAATGATTTTGCATGGATTGGGACGTATAGTACAGCCGCCCATCTTCTATCAGTTCTTCACGATTCCTATTGTGAGTAGAGATGTGTCTAATGTTTGCCAAAATAATTGTAAATCCATTGAAACACACAAATCCGTAGATTTTGTTTACGATCGACCGACTCATAAGTGTGAGCCGTAAGAAAGTGGAGATATCTGTGATCCACGCCGTCTTACATCCCTCTGATGTGACTCATCTCGAGTTCAAAAGACCGCCCGGTTTTGAGTATAAGAGCGGCCAATGGGTGCGAATCGCTTGTCTGGCGCTCAGTACCAGTGAATACCATCCCTTCACTCTGGCCTCCGCTCCCCACGAGGACAACCTGTCGTTGTTTATCAGAGCTGTCGGTCCCTTCACCAAAAACATCCGCCAGACCTACGATCCGAATAACTTGGGTTCGCGTCCGTACCCTAAACTATATCTGGACGGCCCGTACGGTGAGGGCCATCAGGATTGGCTCAAGTTTGAAGTGTCGGTCTTAGTTGGCGGTGGTATTGGTGTCACACCATTCGCATCCATTCTCAAAGACATCGCCTTTAACTCTGGACTCAATAAGAATATCGTTTGCAAAAAAGTAGCACTTATTGCACCAAATGTTGCATTAGTTTTCATTTCCTCATACATTTGCATACATTTTTAGGTATACTTTCTTTGGGTGACGAGAACTCAGAAGCATTTCGAGTGGTTATCGGACGTGATTAGAGACACAGAGGAGAAAGATGTGTCCAATCTATTGACAACTCATATATTCATTACACAGTTTTACGAGAAGTTTGATTTGAGGACAACTATGTTGGTATGTGAATGATAAAGCGATTATTTGTACAAAAAAGTGCACAAAAATCTGATTCATTTGCTGATAACATTAAAATTTAACATTTACTGCTTTGGCCCAATTAATCGTGATATTTGTTTCGCTAATGTTTATGTTTTGTTTTGTCAGTACATATGTGAGCGACACTTCCAGAGGATATCTAATAGAAGTTTATTCACTGGACTCAAAGCCAAGACACATTTCGGGAGACCTAATTTCACTGTATTTCTCGATTCATTGAAGATCTCTAATATCTTCCAATCGGCGGCCTTTCGGTTTGGACACACATTAGTCACCGCCGGAGGTATCAAAAGAAACGCTGACTGCTCTTCAGTTGTGAGACTGGATGTTAGGGACGGACACCAATTTAATGAGCAAATCATACGGACATGTAATAGCTTTTGGAAACCAGTCGATCACCTCTTAAACGGAGGTTTTGAAGAGTTAGTGATGGGTCTGTCATCACAACCGGCTGAAAGAGAGGATAATGTTGTTGTGGAGGATCTCAGAGGCAATGTCTTCGGACCCCTCGAGTTCACGCGAAGAGATTTAATGGCAATTAATATACAAAGAGGTCTTTTGATAGTAATTGTAATAATAGTCAAAATGAATTTTAATTTGTTTAATAACCAAAAGGCAGAGACCATGGATTACCTGATTATTTGACCGTAAGACGAGAGTTAGGATTAGATAAGGAAGATATGAGTAAACTTAGTATAGAAGACATTACAAGAAGACTATGGAAACATAACATTGATTTAAATCCGGTTATTATTTAAATGTTTGTCCAAATGATTAATAAATAAGTTATATTTGTATTTAGATTTTAATAGAGAAGGCAAAGAAGATCTATAGGAATAAAACCGACAAAATCGACATATGGGTGGGCGGGCTGTTAGAGACCACAGCCACACAACCCGG